TGTAGCAATCTGGGCTGTGTTTTATCATTTGTGTTCAACTGATAACAAACCAAACCATTATAATTGTCCAGAAGGCGCAGGGAGTTGGTGCGCTTATCGCCGCGCGGAAGATGCAGAAATTATGAGTAAGTTTAAACACGATTACCTCCCGCTAGATCCAGAAGTTGAAGAAGCTTTAAAACCTATTTATGAAGACTTATCTCGACATGAATTGCTTGATAGATGTAAAGGTAGTAATACTCAAAACAATAATAAAAATTACAATGGTTTACTTTGGCACTTGTCGCCAAAGCACCTTCACAATGGCCTTAAAACTATCGAATAACAAATTATTTTGCAACTTCAATATTTTTAATGACGGTTATTCATCAATTTTGAAGATATTTAATGTAATGGCAGTGATAGTTGGACCTGCAGCAAGAGAGTATGCGGCTCTTAAGGACGAGACGAGAATACGAATCGCTGATCATCGCGAACGGGCTTCTTCAGAAAAGGGTCCATCATTTCGCCAAAGCCCAACAAGCACATTTTGAATAAAAAGAAGGTGAATTATATGAGCCTGGAATAGCGAATTAGCAGTAAGTATGATTTTAATCCATTTATAACAGTAAAAACGACCATTCTATCTTTAAACGCATTTTTCTCGAAACAGCATTTTTCGAATTTGCTGCAGTGATTATTCGGAGACAAATGATCTGATCACTATCAATTTTTTTCTACATGTTCTGAAAAAACCACCAAAATATTTAATAAATTATTTTATAATTTGGGTAAAATTCAACTTTATTTAAAAAACGCCGCCATTGTGTCAATTTTTGATTTTTTTTTCGATCGTAGGTCATTGTACGGACAATATCTTCTAGTTTAATGAGATTTTTTTTCCACGGAGAAGGCCGGAATCACTGCAGCAATGGAGGATCTTTCGCTTTTAGCGTCGTCGAAGATAGCGTGTAACTCGAAAATTATTTCATTTTTTTTCTTCATAAATTAAACTGTATATTCTTAAAATATGTATAAATATACCCTTCAAATTTAAAAAAAATTGATACAGTAGTTTTTTTTAATTCCCAAAAATCGCCTTTTTCAGGCTGTTACACTAGGTGTGCCCCTTAAAAATACTAATTCAGAAAAGTGGTTAAAAACTTGAGTGAAAATAACTTAGCGGTTATGCAGATATTCGCTGTATTATACTATATATGGGGTTTTCGACGGCAAAATACCGGACAAAGATCATATTAGGGGACTTTGATAAAAATTTACTGTTGAAAAACCATAGGTAATATAATACTGCAAATATCTACGAAACCGTTAAAAATTTAGGAACACTTTAAATACAAAAAATGTTCAGTATTAAATTCTGCACATAAAAGAAAAATAATATACAGGGCGTTGTATTTCAAAAATTGAGATCAAGCATTTAAATATTATATTAGCGACACCATAAAAATTATTCTGTATAAGATAATTATAATTTTCCTTCGCGGGTTTATTCTGTTATTTTTCAGATAGCGTTTTTAAACAAAGTTTTAGTAAACACCCCATAGTGCTTCAAATAAAAATAGTGTACTATATGCCGAATTGTATGGTAAACCCAATTATCTACAGAAAAATGGGGAGTGCAATTTGAAAAAACTTTACCATAACTTTTTTTGACACTACAACAAAATATTTTTAGGATATGTCACTCCATAAACCATGGAAAATCTGTATAAAACTTTTTTTTCATATCTTCGACAATGACGACAATATTGGCCTTCCTCGCACTAATGGGCCACCATGTATCTCTGAAATAACTTGTCATTTATTTTGCTATTACTATATGTCGATCGATACTAAAATGTCATCGATCATCATTACCAAGTCAACTCTGACGCCATTTTTTTTTCGATCTTATTGTATAAATGATAAATATAATTTCTCTAAAAAAATCCTATATGGGTATTTCGCCACTGCAAAAAATCTACAAAATGAAATATGTAGTTATTTTTTGTAAACAATGCTGCGTTAATCCAACGGAAACTACTTGTCAGCAGTTAGGTTTACTGATAAACAAATTTTCCTAACGAACAAAAAAATGCTTAACATTTCGGAAAGTTTATCTCTTTCCGTCGTCGGAAACAAAAAAATACAAAAGTTAAAGAAAAAGACTATTAAAAATATTTAAATGCAACTAAAAAAAATTATTGATGATTTTAAAAAACATAACATACGTAAAAATTAAAAACAAATTAAAAATAATCATACAGAAAGTTTGAGGGTTTCTGGTTTTACCTTATTAAGTAAAGTGTTATCAGGTAGTAGTTGTTAATTTTGAAGTTTAACTTCATACAATGTCATTTTAACAGAACGTCAACGGGTTTTGTAGAAAAAAAAAACTAAAGTGTTCTGGAATAGTTGCATTTAAATATTTTAAATATTTTTTTTCTTTGTTCTTTGTATTTTTTTGCTTTCGACGACGGAGAGAGATAAACTTTCCGTTAAGCATTTTTTTTGTTTGTTAGGCAAATTTGTTTATCAGTAAACCTAACTGCTGACAAGTAGTTTCCGTTGGATTAACGCCAGCAGTGTTTACAAAAAATAACTATTTTATTTTGTAAATTTTCTTACAGTGGAGAAATACCCATATAGGATTTTTTTGGAGAGATGAATCCGCCACATAGGTATAGACATTTTTTTGATAAATATGTGTAGGTAATCCAAAATAAAATTTAGTTAAACTGAATGAGGCTAAATGAGAAAAAAATATTTAAGAAAATTCACACATCAGCAGAAGTCAATTGGCCAGATCTTCCATTCAGAAAACTTCGGCAGTATATTCTGCAAATAAAAATAAGTAAAAAAGTTCGTATAAATTTATGTCCGAAAATGCTTCGTCTCGGAGATACAGGGTCATTTTTATTTCGATTTTATCCAAATTTCTGAGCCAACGCCGATATTTGGATGAATATTTGTGTTTTGTGTCTGGGTGTTTTTTGACATGAGAAATTTGATTTCGATGAATGACTCCTACTTGTAGGGGGTGCCATTTATGTATCTTTTAGCTATTTTGAAGAGTAATAACTTTTCGTCCGTACCTGTATTACACTACCAAGCGAAAATATATACATTTCCGCCATTTTCTATGTAATAAAAGTCTCTTGGTAAAAATCGCTAAGAGCAGGGTTGGGTAGATAGAAAATTTGACATATTCTACGGTATTTTCTACACGTAGAATATTAATTTTCTACACCAACTAATTATCTATATTTTCAACATGTCCATATGTAGAAAATTAGTTATGTATACTGAAATCAATCTTTAACGTTTACACAGTGAGTGGTACAAGAAATAGATTAATAACAATTAAACTATATTGTTATTTATTATTTAACAAACGGATAATGTCATAAAACGTAGAAACGTAGAAAATTAATTTTCCACGTCGTTACCCAACCCTGGCTACGTGTAATGGTTCTCAAGATATTTCGAATCAAAATAATGAATACATGTCTTAATTGACAAAAATTATTCATGTTGACTGGATAGTTATTAGTTTAAAATAATAAATTTGAAATGTTTTCGTGCCAAAGATTCAACAGAAACTGTTTTATCATTTTTTTCTAGAAAAATTCATGATTAGCTTAAAAAGATAAGGAGTTCCCAAATTTGTCATTTCAGTGAAATGTCTATGTAGTCAACATGTTTATTTTTCGTCAGTAATGACACGTATTGGCTATTTCCATATCAAATGTCTTGAAAACGGCTGCTTGCAGCGATTTTTACCTAACCCAAAAGCTATGAAAATATATACCGGGTGCGTCTCGAAAGTGGCTCACCCCTATAACTTTTTTATTTTCTCAGATAAAAAACGAGATTTGGGATGTTAGTATATGACATAAATTAGGATTGATTGACGTATTCAACAGTTTTCAGTCACTTCCTGTTTCACCGGAAATGACTAAAACTTGATTTTTTAATGGCACACTCGGTATATTTCTACTTAATTCGATAGAAAATGACAATCTAAATAGAATGACATATCATATGTCAACTTTTGACATTCTTGCTTAAAACAAAATTGAATTTTAAACTTCAATCTAGAGTGCCATGGCTGTGATAAAAACACTAATTTTTAATCAAGGAACCTAAGAAAAATAGATTTGATCGTTTATTGGTTTTCGTGTCTTGTCCTGGCCGGTTAAAAGATGGCCAAATCGTATTTTTAATCATATCTCAATTTTTTCAAATTGAACAAGGGTTGCTCATTAGCATATTTAGAAAAAGCATTTTTTTACGAATAATTTTTACGACCACACACTTGGTATTTCGAGTCAAATTGGCGTTACGAACCGCATGTTACAATTTCAAATAGACCATATGCGAGAATGTCAAAAATTGACTTATGATATGTCATTCTATTCAGAGTGTCATTTTATATCCAATAAAGTAGAAATATACCGAGTGTGCCATTAAAAAATCAAAAGTTGTAGTCATTTCTGGTGAAACAGGAAGTGACCAAAAACAATTGAATACGTCAATTAATCCTAATTTATATCATATACTAACATACCAAATCTCATTTTTTTATCTAAAAATATAAAAAAGTTATAGGGGTGAGCCACTTTTGAGACGCACCCGGTATACTTTTACTTAGTATTTTTATAGAAGTACGAACACAAAAAAAGTTATTACTCTTCTAACCAGTTAAAAAAATATGTAAAAAAAAGTCCGAAATACCAATTTTCATCCAAATATCGGCGTTAGTTCAGAAATTATTTGGAAAAAATCGAGATAAAAATGAAATTTCTACACCCTATATATCCGAAATAAAGCATGTTAGGACATCCATTTAAAAGATTATTTTTTCGTATTTTTATCTACAAAATATGCTAGCAAAAGCTTCCCGAAATATCCTGTATATTTTCTTCATCCTATAAAACTTTCCTAACAATTTTGAATACTCGACTTTCAGAAAAAAATTACTACTGGCAAATTTTAACAACATTGAATACTAATATTGTCTTTTTAAATTGAATTATTGACTTTATTCTATAGGTAATCTACCATTATACCAAATAACTTTGTAGAATTTAGTTTATTAAAATACATCACATTAATTAGTGAAAAAAATAATCTCATTAATAAGATATAACAATGCTGTCATACTGAAATAAATAATTCTAAATTATTTGTATCATCGTTTTAACAAGTCAAAAAAACATATCGTCGTTGTAGTCAAAACCTCGTTAGTCGTATCTTAATATATTTTCTTAAGTTTCAGTTATTACTTTAGTATCTATTACACCACCACCTACCACCTAATTTGTTTACTATTTTTAAAAATTGTTACAAAATATAACCTTATTTCACAATTCATTAAAAATTGTAAATGTTTTTTTCTAGTTTGTGAAAACATGTATGTTTTTAGGTACAATGTTTTGACTTTACGACGACGATATATTAATTTCGATTAGTGATACTATACTGTATATGATATTTCACTAATTTTACTCAATCTTAAAATTACATATCGCAATACCTGTTAGAAGCACCTAAGCTTTTCTATAGAAATGTCGTACACATTGTTATGTGTATGGTTATTTAATTAATTGTTAACTAAAGGGCTTCATAGACATCCAAATCGTCATGTGGTGTCGCAAAAACACAGATAACTTCTCTTGATTCAAGATCAGCTGTCGTTTTTTAATCTAAAACAAATATAAATAAAAATTAATTCACATCTAAATAAAGAAAAAGTGTTTATACAGGCTGACCCAGGCTTCCGAAAAAGCTCTATATGAGAATTATGGTTTGACATATCATTTTAATTTTTTTTGCTTAATATGGTGGCAATGGAAACGCGCATTTTGTTGTTTTAAGGTGTTTATTATTAAAAGTATCATACCTATCTACAGCAAAGTAGAACAACCTTTTTAATTAACTCAATAATCAGTTTTTCACGTGACAAATTAATAAAAAATATGATTTATTGTATTAGGGCAGCTATTTTTTTTAAATAGCAAGAAAAATTTGTCATCAAAGACATCCAGATTTAAGGGCAACTCAACTATCCGTGTTCAAGAAATTAAAATGAAGGTTTGATAGTATGGACAATGTATCGAAGAAAATTCTAACACTTCCTCTCCAGCAATATCAACTAAAACAGACGTTTCTCAGAGTAGTGTTAATAGAACTATAAAAACACATAAATCTCATCCGTATCAATTGGAACTGCATTAAAATCTAAATTACTTTATCAACAGGATGACTAATTTCACAATACATATGCTTAATACAGTTCACAGAGGCTTTTAACTAAAATCTTATTTTCTAATGAGGCTACCTTTAAATGTAATGGATTAATAAATACGCTTAATATTTATCATGTGACAGAAAGCCTAGAGTGTAAGAGATAGATAATATGACACTTTTAGGTATAAGAAGTGCTTAATAAAATGAAAAGACTACATAAAATTCTGTTGGATTATGATACAAAATATAGGGCGTTCAATTTAAAATAGTGGAGAAAAATACAACATTAAGTTTTGACTCACCCTGTATATAACAAATAAGAATGCACATTTTGGTAGGCTGAATTTTGAAGAACACATGGTATACCAAATACCAAACACATTATACAATATATCCAATTAAAAATGTTTAAAATTATTCGGATTTAGAATTTTCAGAGGGCTTTAAATAAGCAGTAAATTTAGTTTAAAAACAGTTATATTGCAAAAAACCACTAAGTATATGACATTATGGCATTTTTGGAATGGAAATGCAATGGCAAAATCACTGAAGTAAAAAAATTACAGTATTGTAATTGTATGTATGTATTGCATTTAAAAATATACCTACTTTAAAATATACCTAGTTTGAAAATATGTTGATCGATTTTCTGGGTAAAAGATTGATCTTCGATTAAAATCGATTCGAATCCTACATCCCGACCACAAATAAGCAACCAACACTTTCGTTTTGTAAACTATTGGCAATAACTGTGTACTTATCTTATTCAAACGTATCCTCCAAACTTTCACCTCTTCACGATTACCTGTGGCCCTTTTAGTCCACCCCAGTTTGATAGGTTTTCAATCACTTTTAATAATTATTCACGGTTCATGTCGAGCAATATCTATCACACAAGGCGAGGAATCCTCACAGGGCGACGCCATTACATATTTCCGTTTTGCAGTGTTGCCGCACCCTATTTTTATCGCGTACCACATTCTAAACTAAAAATGTAATCTGCAAATGACTTTAAGCGGTTTGGCTGTTGTGAATTTCTTCATAAATTTCTACATAAAAAAAACTTCATGGAGAAAGACACAAATCGAGACGAGGTAATGGTGTGGATCCGGTGGCTGACCTTGAAACGAGTTTCTGCTGCATATAGTCACAGACACTACGCATGCGCACATCTTCGATGTTGCCAGATTATTTTAAGTTATTTTGGAATTATTTTCAGTAGAAAACAAATGTGCTTTTCAGTGTTTTTTGTCAATATATACCGTATGATCGAAAAAACGGCGTCCAGTTAGCTGGGAAATGACGATTGAGGACATTTCCCATATAAAATGACAGCGATCTTCATTTCATAGTCATCGCTGACGCTATTTTTTTTTCAATCATAGTACGCGGTATATTATTTATATCAAGGATTTATATTATTATTTTAATATTTCGTACAACACGTGAACGCTTATTATGTATTTTCATAGTCAATAAAATTAAATAGAAATAAAACTCTAGATTCCTATAATTAATCTAATTGCTCTAGATTATTTAGCTACGTTTAAAAAGGGCTTTATTAAAAATTCGGGAAATTATATGTCCAAGTTTTTCCTTTTTTTTAAATTTTAAATGCTGTAGCTCCATGTCATGTTCATAATAGGTTTTCTGCTAATTTAAGATTTCTCTATTCTTACACCTAATTTATGTGATTTTCTTAGCTATAATATGATTTATAAACCATATTTTTCATAATGGAAGGATGTAATAGGATATGCAAAATTAAGATATTTTAACATTTATTTTCCAGACAAAGCATAATATAGTATTAAGATTAAGACATAATAAATATTATAAGAAAGATCTTAATATAAATCACAAACTAAGTCTTAATTTGGTCTTGTATAAACACAGGTATATAAAACTAATAAGATCAAAACTCAACCTTCACCATATTGTCAAGATTTGGCATTATAGGAAACAAGAAATTGCAGTAAATTAAGAAAAGAATATCAAAGTACACGATATTAAATACTGTAATGTATTCTACGACACAAACCATCTCCCTTCTAAAGAGAAAAAGATAAAACATAAAGCTTATTTTAGTCTTATCAACACTCTTCGATAAAATATATGTCTAAAATTGCTATTAATCCACTAACTTGATATTTTTAAGAAATTATATGATACAAACATTACAATCAAAGTATATTATATTAGTAACATTATAGGTAAAATATGTTACCTCTATCTCCAATTGACGTGTATTGTTCTATAAGACTCGTCATGGTAATATTTCAAAACATCAATATACGTATAATGAAAACTATTGTTGCCTGTAAATAACTAGAAATTAAATAACTTGAAAGAAATAAAATAATTCTAATAAGTTTAAAACCATTAAGAAAAAAAAATCCGTAAATGATAATTTTTAATTCTAATGTAAATATATAAATAAATGTTATTATTATTATTATTATTCAACCACTTCCATATCTCTGTTATTATTACGTACAATTTTATATGTATATTCATAATACTTTCATTTCACAATCTTCATTATCCTTCTTACCTTAATTTTGGGTATCAAGATAAATCTGAAATTATAAAATTAATTATAGAATTTGTATTATTATTGATTAACACTTAAAAAAAAATTCAACTGCAAATAATTCGAAAATAAACTGCAATTTGGCAACATCGACGATGTGCGCTTGCGTAGTATCGATGATCAAATGCAGCAAATATGGCCTTCAAGGTCAGCCACCGGATCCACACCTTTACCCGAGACGAAAAACATGAAATAGAAATTCAGAAAACCCAATTTTAAGTATAGGGTGAAGAAATCTAAGTAATTCTAATACTACACACGATACTTGGAAAACTTAAATTTTATTAAAAAAAACGCAAATATAGAAGCATGTTAGAAACAGCAAATTTCCAAGTTTTTTTCGGGTTATTTATTATAGGCAACCCTATAGACACAAAATAGAAATCAACCAGAACGCCGACTCTGCCGCATTTGATGACGTTTCACGAATCGCGACGCCATATTGGCAGCGGGTAACTCTCAGGGCCGGATTAAAACGCTTTCGCAGGCTGTTGTCAGGGTTATATTGAATAAGTATTTTTATTATCTGATAGGTATGTGATTACAGACTGAGCGTAATACGTTATTTCGAAAGGTAAAGTTTGTATTGTATAGATACCACCACATGTAATTTTCATGCAGCGGTTTTTTTGCAATTAGTAGGTAGGCAGATAATAATATATGTGTAGTCAAAAATTTGGAAATGGGTAGAGATCGTGAATTTTAAAAATAAACTAAACCAATTAATTAAAGGTCAACTTTCTACTCGAACCCTTGAGCTGCGTTTTACTGGTTGGCAAAAATCCGTGGTCATCCCTACACCTTTCTTAGAAGTTTTTATGGTCTGGGAAATTACGCGAATTGCGTTGCTATAGATACGCTCTAAAGTGTAACAGTTTACTATCCTGAATTTATTTGTTAGAGGCACGTTCTGCGGTTTGAGTACACATTATCAAAATAAAAATGTTTTTTTTAATGCTGGGAAAGTTTCGCTTGAACACAATGTTACCCAGATAAATCGGGCTCATTATAATAATAAAATTATGATTAGGTAGGTAGGTAATAAGTATTGTGTTAAGATGGGTTAATACAGTATTTAAAATAAAACAATCTATGCATTTGTTTAATATCTATTTATTTCTCCTTATTAATAATTTATTTTTATTTGTTCCGCTTTTAAAATTCGTATTTATGTGATATATTCATATTATGCGATGGTTAGAATTCAACTAAACCCTGACCTGCCCTGATTAAACCGGTAACGCCGCTACATTGACAGGTGTTACCCGCTCATAAAGGAATTTTTAGGTTAGCCACCGTTTCGCGCGCATTTTGGGAGTCAACCTTCTGGTTGATTTCTATTTTGTGCTATAGACTTACAACATTTACACGTCGTCAATAAAGGAATATTCAAGTTTTTTTCGGGTTATTTAATATAGGCAACCCTATAGACATTACAACGTTTATTCGTCGTTAATTAATGTGGATTGTCTCCGAATGGTATCGGTAAGCGCGTTTAATGCAATTTCAACGACAATAATTATTAAATATCTATTCATTTTCGGTGCGCGTGGGAAATAATTATTGTACCAAAACATCCTGGATTTAAAAATGTAGTACCACTGTACCAAATAGAATTAAAAGTATCAAATTAGGTACAAATGTACCACTGCGGCAACACTGCCGTTTTGCGGTTTGCGTCTAGCCAGTGTTGCCAGAAATTTTCACTAGTGTCTAAGTCCCACTAGTCTACTCGGACACCTAACAATGTTGCCGTTTGTTGTTCCTTAATTTTTTATTTTCAGTTTTTTGCTAAAGACGTTTATTTTACACAGATTATGTACACTTCTATTAATAGTAATCAGAATACTGAATAAAGCAAAAACAAGTGCTTCGGAAACATGTTTGGTTGGTTTTCATCCTAACCAGATATAGGAAATTGCACCTACTAAAATATCGCATTTCCCTATCGAATTCTGGCTCAAAAATGTTAGTGCAAAGAGTTTAACAAGGCAACATTATTTTTAAATCACATGCGCAAATGGCACAAGGTAATTGACCAAATTATTAAAGAAGTAAGGCAGAGTCAAATGTAAAAGGTCTATGCACATTATCAATTATCATACACGTAGCGTTTCCGTTCCAGCAACCGGACTGTGCATTCACATATGCATACACGAAGCGTTTCAGTTTGCTTTAGTAAAGTCAGAGATAACTAAGTTGTCTCTGGTAAAGTGATGTTTTTCCATTTTTCTCGTAAATAACATGTGCAAATGCCATTCTACCGGATGTAAATTAAACAAGACAAGCTTCTGTTGGACCAACATTAAAAAAATTAACCTTTGCCATAATTATCAAGATTTTGGCATTACAGGAAAGAAATTACAGTAAATTAAGAAAAGAATATCAAAGTTCAAAGTACAGGATATTAAATACTGTAATGTATTCTACGACACAAACCATATCCCTTCTAAAGAGAAAAAGATAAAACATAAAGCTTATTTTAATTTTATCAGCATTCATTGATAATAAGATATACGCCTATATCCACTCACTTGATATTTTTAAAAAATTATGATACAAACACTATAATCAAACTAGGTAAAATGTTACCTCTATCTTACTAACTTCTATTGTGCTGTAAGATTCGTCATTCGTACTTGTATTTAGCACCAGCAGGCAACTATTAAGCCCGACCAATCACGTTACAGTTTTTGAGAAAAACCAATGAATTAACACACTCCAAATAACCACGCTAACCGACCTGATTGGTCAAGCTTAATAGTTGCCTGCTGGGGCTAGACACTTCTGTCATTCGTCATGCAATAGTACCGTATGATCGAAAAAAAAACGGCGTCAGCGATGGCTATGAAATGAACATCGCTGTCATTTTATAGTTATGTAAAATTGGGGAATGTTATCGATCGTCATTTCCAAGCCAACTGGACGCTGTTTTTTTCTCGATCATATGGTGTACTTCAATATATACGTATAATTGATATAATCAAAACTATTGTTGCCTGTAAATAACTAGAAATTAAACAACTTGGATGTAATAAATGTGCCATATTGATGATACAAAATAGTTCTAATAGGTTTAAAACCAATAAGAAAAAATCCGTAATTCATAATTTTTAATTCTAATGAAAATATGTAAATATAAATATAGTATTATTATTAACATTACTTACAACTCCGCGATTACAATCATAATACCTTAACTTCACAATCTCCATTATCCTTATTACCTTAATTTTTGATATCAAGATAAATCTGAAATTATAAAATTAATTATAGCATTAATTTGTATTCTTAGTGATTAACACTAAAAAACATTGGTTTTCAACTGCAAATAATTCGAAAATAAACTGCAATTTGGCAACATCGACGATGTGCGCTTGCGTAGTATCGATGATCATATGCAGTAAATACATACA